CAAAACAGGGCTAGTTTTCGGCCTGCGAAGCCTGCAGAAGCCTTCCTCAAGCCTTTGGAAGGCCGAAAAAGGCCTCAAACCGGCCGAAAATCTGCTGTGAGGTCCGCTCATGCGCAGTGAGGTAAGTTTGCCTGCAGCTCGCGTGCCAGAACAAATGGCTCTACGTGCCACCTGTGCCACGCATGCCATAGGTTCGCCATCACGGGTGGATACTGTGTATATACGTACAATGACGACAAAGTATTATTATTATTAAAAGTGATCACGAGCAGTTTGTAACAGCCTATAAGCCAAAAATAAAAAAAACACTAAAACGTTTTTAAAATTTGACCGGTGGGATCTGCAGCATGCCCCTTTTGCTGGAGTGAGTGGGGCACAACAATACCATTGGGGGGACAGTTTCTTGGACGGTTTCTGGAGACATGCCACTGAGGACTTTAAAGGTGATAACCAACACTTTTGAATTGGACGCAGAAGCAAACTGACAACCAGCGCAGTTCACAGAACAGCAGTGTTATATGGGCCTCCCTGGGACCCCAAGAACTGTTCACGCAGCCATGATCTGCACCTGGAAACCTTCCTGGTCTCTTCAAGGGGAGCCCCACGTAGAGCCCATTGCAGTAGTCCAAATGCTAGATGACCAGGTGTGAAGGATTTAAGGTGCAGGGAGTCGGATCCAGGAAAGGGCACAACTGACACACACAACCCGAAAGTTGCACAAAGGCTCTCTTAGCCGCAATGACTACCTACCCTTCAAGCAGGAGTTGTGAGTGTGTGTAGGAGGCAGTGCAATCCCATCCAGAAGTAAAGATGTTAAACTCTCAAATCCATGCACCCATATAGCCCTTTGGTCTTATCAGGATTCAGCCGAAACCTTTGGCTTGTAATATTCTCTCATTTCCCCCGCCTCTGAATGCTTAATGCTGGCCAAGCCAGCAGAACATTAGCTGCCAAAAGTTTGGATAGAAGAAGGAAAACCGTGCAAAATTGGGTATTTGCTGTAGTAAGGAAATCCAGCAATATTCTGTAAATCGTTGATCAACTGCAAAAAGGATAGTTGAGCCCTGAGATCAATGTAGGCTACGGATGGATGAATTATATTTTATATATAATAGATAGATAGATAGATAGATAGATAGATAGATAGATAGATAGATA